AATAAGGCCCAAAAAATTAAAACGGGAGAAGGGGGGAAAAATTGAATTCACCTGGCCAGGCAGCTCCTTCTTCTTCCCCGACGGACGGCGACAGCCAGGCAAGAACTTGCAGCTTTCGGCGGACCCAGCACGGGCGGCGGCGGGGACTGACCGGGTGTTGGATCCGCCCCTGATCATGGCCTTGCTGAAATAAGCCCCTAGACTCATTGGTGTGAGCCTTAGCCAAGGATACACTAGTGGACATATTTTTTATACGATTTTGATATTAAATTTGGCATTTGAAGCTCATTGGAGCTGGCAAAACTTGCAAGCACCTTAAAGGTAAATTTGGTATTTGGCAACCCAATCTTGTAGGTTTTGAGAAAACATATATATCTTATAATTCTAGGAGTTGGGAAAAGAACATGGGAAGCTAAAACACAAAAACTCTCTCAATTAAGAATACATACATTGAATTTCTTGGATTTCAAGGAAGGAGGAGGATAATTGTTCAAGACATATTGAAGGAATTCGAATACCAAAACTTTTCTTCTGTTTTCTTCTATTCTCTATAATTTGGGTGATGTATTCAATGGGATTTTGCAACTCAATTATGCTTGGCTAGATTTATGAACACTTGCATGATTATGAAACCTCGTTTTGAAGCTTTAATCACAATTACTTCTTGATTTTGATGCTAAGTACGTGTTTAATTTGAATAATTGCTATTATCTTATTGTCTTCAATTGCTTAATCACAATTAAATAGAACTTGTGACTTATTTTGCTTTCTCAGAGATCGAAAATAGGTTACATCATAGTAATTACTCTTTTCGTTTCATTAATATTGGCTTTTCTACATTTTCACACATATTTAAAAAATGTAATTAATATAGTTAAAAATATAAATTTTACTTACATTTTTTTAATATATCCCTAATTAGATAATGATTTAAATATGAATAATTCATATTTATTGATAACAAAACATATTAAATATGGACATATTAGAAAATTAAGAAATCAACTATACTCCCAACAGGGAAAGTGACAATAAATTTGAGACAAAAAAAGAAGAAGTAAGCAAGTATCTTTATGGACGGATGGATTATTATAAAATTCGATAGGAATAAGAATATATATTGTTTGTGTAATAGTTAATTCAATATTCTAACTTTTCACACATTAGTGCATGTTCGTATCTTTCAAAAAAATATAGAAGAGACATGTAAAAATTTATTCAATTTTATTCAAAGAAATTATTGAACAAATTATGAATATTAATCATCAAATTCATTCAAGTATTCTTAACTACAAGAATTGAGATTAAAGTTGAAAAAGAGGTGGATCCCAAAAATTAACCTGCTTATATAGATGATTTTGTACTAGTTGGTTGACTGATGCGTGCCATACATGCATCTGTCAACCTATCTGTACATAATTATGTATATATAGCAGAGTTTGGATTCCAAATCTTGTGTCATTATTAACTTGATTTTTTCTCCAAAATTTTTCAAATCACTTGTATTGTCCATTAAGGTAATTTAGGAATA